GCACACTCACACACCCACAGGCACACGCTTCTCGCACACTCACACACCCACAGGCACACGCTTCTCGCACACTCACAGGCACACGCTTCTCGCACACTCACACACCCACAGGCACACACAGCTCACACACTCACACGCTTCTCGCACACTCACATATCACAGGCACACGCTGTCTGTACACTTGCACACTCACACGCACACACTGCCCGCACACTCACGGGCACACACTGCCCGCACACTCACGGGCACACACTGGCCATAGACTCGCACACTCGCAGGCACACGCTGCTCGCACACTCACACACAGCTCACACACCCACAGGCACATGCTTCTCGCACACTCACACACTCACAGGCATGTGCTCACACACATACAGCCCTGAGAGGAAAGCCAGTAGAAGATTCCCTCTCAGACTCTAGAATCTGCGCCTCTAACACCAATTTCCTGATCTAGAAATGCGCAGGTTTCTGAAAGTGGGCTTTGCTGCTGGAAGAGAACAGATTTTAACCTCCTCCCAAGCACAAAAGCAGCTGAACCCAGTTTCCTTTCCCCTGGATTTCGCTTGAAGTCCAAATTCCCTAGAATCCCAGCGATGGATGATGGAGGAGACCTGCCTGGGATTTAGCCAGCTCAATCTTCTCCTCCAGGTCTTCCGGAATCATGCCGCCCCTGCAAGATAAGGAGAAGAGGAAGAGGGGACAGCAAGAGGCCTTGATGCCATTTAACCACGACGAACACATCCTGTGGACACGTAGCACGGAGTGCGGTCACCAAGGTAGCCACTCGGCCGGCTATACCTGGGGTCCACCCGGACAGGGTGCACATTCTCTATCCCGATGCCCTGGAAACTGGCCGACTTCCTGACAGAGTAGTGGCACTAGGAAAAGACAAACACACAGTCTTATTCCCGACACTTCGCAACACGCCCTGATGTCTTTCGTCTCTCAAGGTAACGATGCCCATCCCCCCTACAAGCCACATAGATGTATTATTCTAAGACCTATTCTAGGTCTTAAAAAGCCCCCCTTCAGTCACGTAGCCTACAGAGTCTGTGTGGGACGGAGCCCTACTCTCGGACTGGCTAGGCAGCCAGATCTACATTCCGATTGGCTGAGATCTTGCCCACCTCCCTAGCGTCAGGATGCATGGGCCTGTGTCCAGCGGAGAGAAACCTCCCCTACAGTATTTTCCTTAATCCTCTCTAAGGTTTCATTGAAACGTTTGGGAAATTCAATCAGTGCAGAATTCCGGCAGGGTTCTGTGACGGTCAAGCCACATTCCGGCCTTGTTTTGTCAATAAATCCTACTGATCCGAGACAAGTGAGGTGGGCTGATTATAGAAGCCTGAGCCTCCCACCCCAGGTTGTGCTGCCAGTGAACCCCCTGTGGTGTTTCGGGGAAGCGGCGCGCCCCGGGTGCCCCTCGCTGCTCTCACCTCCTGGGACGCGAAGACGGCGAGGCGCGGCACGGCCCACAGGCCCCGCAGTTTGACCTCTGGGAAGGCCCGGTACCGCGCCAGGTTCATGGCATACATGTTGGACACAGAGCCGCCGGGGCAGAAGATCCCATCTCCCGCCGCCCAGCCGACCAGAGAGCGCAGCTCGGACAGAACCACCTCCTCCATCAGCACGAAGACCGGGGCCACCTCGTACGTGTACCTGGGTGGGCAGACAGGAGCGGGCTCAGAAAGACCCACAGGCCCTTTTCCAGCTCATTAGGGGTGCGCTCTGAGGAGGCCCCGTGAGGCAAGTCCAGCTTGTTGTAATGACTGGTATCCCAGCATGCATCCAGCAATCTTTCAGTTTATGCCCTCCGCTCCCCCTCCTTCCCCGCTAATTGGGAATTGCCAAGTGTTTCTTTACTTCTCGGCTCGCAGCAGCGACTCCCGCGCTGGACATGGAAAACAAGGAAGAACAGACACGCCACACCCCCCCCCGGACTACCTACCCATTGCATCCATCACATCAGGATGAGCCGAGATGTGCTTCGAGCTCTGCAGCCCCCACTAGCTTAGAGGAGGGTGAGGGACATCGCAATGATGTCATCATGACAAGAAAAACAGGAAACATCGTCTCCCCGAGAGCTATTTTCTAACCTTGCCCCAGGTGGTGCTCTGCCACGTGGGTAATCCTCATCACAGGTGACTGAGCTGGCTGGTGGCAGGAGCCCAGGACCTGGACAAACGGAGCTCAACCTTCGTTTCTCGTTTAGACCTGTGGCTATAACCTTGCTCAGCAAATGGTTCTGGTGTGCGTACATATGCATTGTTAGTTTGTGAGTTTTCTTTTATATTGCCCGCTGCTGTAAAATAAAATAAATGGCCCCTTGGGGATAATGAAGACTCTCTCCCTCTCTCTCACCTAGAGTGAACGCTTCTACAGGCCGAGCCAGCCAGTAGGGGGTGCAATTCACCAGCAGTTGGTTCTGGTTGGCCAACACATTTTTCCAGCAATGGAATGCATCTTCCCTCGACTTGCTCCAGCCCGGCTTCAACATCCCTCCCACCCCCCGTAGACAAACTCTCATGCTCTCAAGGTGAAATGTGTCTGTTCGGTTGGTAAGAAAAGCTCCAACATTTACTGGCTGGTGTTGAGGGTCTCCGTGAGGAAGCGTCCGGCCAGGGAGTGATAGTCCACTCCAGCAAACAGCTGGTTGAAGAACAGGGGGTGATCTGCAGAGGAGACACGCAAATCAGCAACAACTGAGACAGCTCCTGCATCAACCACAGCCTCCAGTCACACAGAACGGTGTTGCCTCTGCAGGGCCAGGCCTGTTATTCAGCGAAAGGCTTGGTGGTTCAGTCTGCCACTATCCTCCACGTGTAGCAGCAGAGCGCAGAGCAGAGACTGCTGCTTAAAATCAGCGCTGGCAGGGACAGCCGAGGGGACAGGTTTACAAAGGGCTCTGTGGGCTGCTGTTGTGGGAGGTCTTTCCTGTTGTTTAGAGAGACACTTAATGAGGTGTAAGTAGTTTGTAGAGGTGCTGGCAGGGGTGTCTGTGGGCAACAGGGGGGCGAAGCTTGATACTGGCTGAGGCGCCTGGGTATGGTCGAGAGGGGAGGTACCCAGGGCTGTAGAGTGCTGCTGTGTCTCTGTGCTCTACTGGGGTAAAAGAGGACACGAGGTGCTATCTTGCAGGTGGCATTGGACTGCGGGGCGTCCCAGCGCTCTTACGGGTCTTGACGCTGTACTTGGCCACATCTCGAACCCGCTGCAGCAGCCGGCCATGGGACTCCCCCACCTCCTGCAGATCCAGGTCCAGCAGCGCCCTCAGCTCCTCGGGGTCGCGCCACTCGCACACCTGTAGGGGGCAGCAGTATTGCACTTGACATCCTGCACAGCAGTCCGACGCAGCGACCCGCCGGCTCGCGGTAATGTGGCGTTACACCGACAGCGACCCGCTGACTCGCGGTAATGTGGCGTCACACCGACAGTGACCAGCTGACTCGCGGTAATGTGGCGTCACACCGACAGTGACCCGCTGACTCGCGGTAATGTGGCGTCACACCGACAGTGACCCGCTGACTCGCGGTAATGTGGCGTCACACCGACA